CGAGATGAACATCGCTTTATCATGGGCCCCCCAGGGCTCTCAGAAAAGGACGCCAGGAAGGTGGCAGACGGTAATGGATTGCTTTTCGTCGTGTGCCGATTGCGTCTTGCCCCGCCCAGCTGTGGCGTCTCCTGGACCATCGAGAACCCTCGTACTAGTCGTGTATGGATGGCCCCTGCCATGACAAAGTTGGGCAAACTCAGGGCGTTCGAGGAGCGCCCGAACTCCCCGAGGTTCACGTTTTTTCGATGTCTGTCAGCGCGGGGGGACTGGACAAAAGGCGCTGCTTTACTTTCTCGTGGAATTGATATGTCTGGGCTGGGGGTGTGCTGCCACATGAAGAATGGGTTATTATCTCGCGCTGGCTGCCGCCATTCCGCCTTTGAAGGTAAAGGCTCTGATGGTGCATTTAAGACTCTCAGGGCGCAAGGTTATCCTTTTTACAGTTGTGCGATAAGCTCGCCAATGTGATTTTGCACGTTTTGTGAACAGCCCACTCTGCGGTTAAGGCACTGCTCGACCTGTCCTGTTTCAGCCCGCGGCCTCGGACGAGGCCCGCCGGTCCAGCTCGCGCCCGGCGCTTCAACTCGCCGCCGCGCCCAGCGGCGTGAGAAAGAGTTGGCCGGCCAGGAAGGGGTGGGATCATGAGACTGCGACGGGCAAATCATTGATCTCCCCCTCCACGGCCGTTTCGGTTTCAAGGTCTGTCTCCGCGCCGCCCGCAGCCCCGGCCTGCCCCCCCTGCCCTTCTCTTTCCTTGGGGGGGGGGATCTCTCTACTGCTCGACCTGCCCCGATTCAGCCCGCGGCCTCAAACGAGGCCTGCCGGTCCAGCTCGCGATCGGCGTTGTGACTTGCTGCCGCGCCCGGCGGCGCGAGGAAGAATTGGCTGGCCAGGAAGGGGCGCAGGGTTTGGGCCAAGCGGGCCTGGACTGGACCCGCGCGCGCGCGCCCTCAGGTGGGCCAGCCGCGTGCTGAACGAGACTCTCCGACGCTGTTGAGGCCTTGCCCCGCCCCTTCAGGCATGGTTCGTGGTTATCATTATTCATCTTGTTCTCGCGCAGCTGCCGCAGGATTGGGCGTCAAGCTCGCGCGCGCAATAGTTCCATCAACCGGGCCGACATCAGACAGTCTGCAGGGCTCGTCGCAGCGCGTCGGCAAGCAGCAGCAGCAAGGCAACGCTTGGCATTGAAACATCAATGCTACTGTCTTCATTTCCTATCTAGAAGATAACGATGCGCAGGCGACGTTCACCCCTCGCGGCCAGGATTTGCTGGCAAGGTTCATTATGTCACCATATTGGTCTACTTCGCCGCCACCTCGTCTGGAGCCACCTCCGCCGCCTACGCTTCCCCCGCGCTCTGCGCCAGCGGAGCTGCCGCCGCCGTCGCGTGATTCCGCGTCGGACGTTGAAATCGAAGCCAAAGCGTCCGTCGGCAATGCTCGTGGGGATTTCGTTAGCCACGTGCGTAGTGGATCGACACCATGTACTGTAGGCAATCTAGTCGGCGACGCCTTCCCCCGCGCTCGGACGCAGCGAGTCCGAGGCGACGCATCAATCCAGAATTGCAAGCGGCGTGCCCATCATGTGGCGCATGATACTGGCCTGACCAGGGTGTCCGAACATTGCGAACGTGCAGATGGCGCCCCGTCGCAAAATGATGACGCGCGATTGACAAGACTTTCAAGTTTGGGAACCCAGTGCGTTCGGTACGCCTAGCAGATAAGAAGACCCTCGACGGGGCGGAGGGCGAGCTCGGCAATTTGGATCCGCAACCAGGGCGATGGCAGGCGATGACCAGAGGCAAAGCAGCTCGTTTCAAGTACGACGCTACCGAGTTCATCAACATAGCAATATCGACGTCGCTTGGCGACCTCGCCTTTCATCGAAAGAGTGTTCTGCCGCATGTCGGAGCGAGGCAACGATGCAATAGATGTCGAGCAGTTGCCGTTGGACGTCTGCGCTAACGACGTGCGCATTCGCGCGCCATGTGGCGCCATTTTTCGCGTTCGCGCTCGCGTTCGCGACCGTAAGTGGTCAGTCGTATCACATTTCGATGATTCACGTATTTTGCGCTGCTGTATGTTTGTTCACACGTGGCGCGCCTGGATGCACGCGCGCATTGCGCGGTTTCAGTGCGCGCGCCTTTCATCGTTTACCCTTGCGCTGCATGCGTGGCGCTCTCAGCGCGCGGTGGGGGCGGGGGAGGGCCGCGGCGAGGAGGTGGATGGAAGCCGCCGTCGCCGTTGCACCCCCGGCGAGGGCAATCGCGGTGCATATGTGATTTTGACATTTGCGCCGAGGAGGACGCGCTCGCAAGTTTAAGCCGCGAGCGCCAGGTTCTCATCCCGCCGCGGCTCTCACAGTGGACCACCTTTCGCGCGTGACGGTCGTTGTTCATATCGTTTTTACCAACTATCCTGTGGTGTTGGGTCCTCGTTTCGAAGAGACGGTGCCCCGCGCTCTTCTCCTCTCCTCTCCTCTCCTCTCCTCCCCTCTCCTCTCCTCTCCTCTCCTCTCCTCTCCTCTCCTCTCCTCTCCTCTCCTCTCCTCTCCTCTCCTCTCCTCTCCTCTCCTCTCCTCTCCTCTCCTCTCCCCCCCTCCTCCCTCCTCTCGTCACCGTCATCGCCACTCGTTTCAGCGCATTCCTCACATGTTTTGTGGCCCCATGAGGGGGCCCCGCCGCAGGCCCCGGCGCGACCGCCCGCATGCGTCCCGCACACCCAGCACAGCGCTTCGTGGCCCCATAGGGAGCCCCACCGAAGGTCCCAATGCTACCGTCCGCATGCGTCCCGCGCACCCAGCGCAGCCTTTCGTGGCCCCACAGGGAGCCCCGCCGAAGGTTCCAGTGCTACCGTCCGCATGCGCCCCGCACACCCAGTACAGCGCTTCGTGGCCCCATAGGGAGCCCCACCGACGGCCCCAGTGGGACCGTCCGCGTGCGCCCCGCACACCCAGCACAGAGTTTCGTGGCCCCATATGGAGTTCCACCGAAGATCCCAGCGCTACCATCCGCATGCGCCCCGCACGCCCAGCACAGCGCTTCGTGGCCCCATGGGGAGCCCCACCGAGGACCCCAGCTGAACCGTCCGCATGCGTCCCGCGCACCCAGCGCAGCCTTTCGTGGCCCCACAAAGAGCCCCACCGACGGCCCCAGTGGTGCCGTCCGCATGCGTCCCGGGAACCCAATTTGGCTCTTCCACCCACCCAGGACGACGTTGCGTGGCCCCACAGGGAGCTCCACCGAAGCCCCCAGTGCCACCGTCCCCGTGCGTCCCGGAAACCTGATTTGGCATTTTCGCTCACCCAGAACACGGCTTCGTGGCCCCATAGAGAGCTCCACCGAAGCCCCCAATGCCATTGTCCGCGTGTGCTCCGGAAACCCAATTTGGCATTTTCGCCCACCCAGCACAACGCTTCGTGGCCCCATAGAGAGCGCCACCGACGGCCCCAGAGCTTCCGCCCGCATGCGTCCCGAAAATTTCATTTGGCTTTTTCACCCACCAAGTACAACGCTTCGTGGCCCCGTAAAGAGCTCCACCGAAGCCCCCAGTGCCACCGTCCGCATGCGTCCCAGAACTCCAAGTTGCCATTTTCACCCACCCACTACAACGTTTCGTGGCCCCATAGGAAGCTCCACCGACGGCCCCAGTGCTACCGCCCGCATGCGTCCCCCCCCGCCCAGTGCAGCGTTTCGTGGCCCCCTCGGGAGCTGCACCGAAGAAAAGGTTCCCAATAACGGCACCCACAACTGCATATGGTTGGGTCCCTCGCCAGGATAATTGTTGCTCGCGCGGCACGCACTGTGCGGCGGAGGAGGCGGCGGAGAAGTTAGTTGAGCGGGGGGGGGTTAAAGCTGCCAGCGCCGTTGCTACGTTCGCACCTGATGAGGGCAATCACAGAACACTATGATTTGGAGTGCCGATGCCGAGGAGAGCCCGCTCGCGAGTTGAGCGAATGCTGGAAACCCGTTCTGCCGCAGGTCTCGCGGGTATCTATTTGTTTAAATTGATGTTCGTTGTCCACATCGCATTTTGTGCATGCATGGCGCGCACGGCGCGGTGGTGGAGGTGGTGGTGGATTACGTGGCATAGGGTGGTGGAGGAGGACGAGGATCGCTTACAACATGTTTCTGCCTCAGACCAGCCGGCGCTGTCCGAGCCAGCCTCCCGCGGCAGAAAACCGCGCGTTTACATTGCCACATAGGCCAGCCAGACGACTATGGCCAGTCTGACACTTTGGCACGCTTTCGCATTTAAAGGAGGCGGAGGGTGCTTTTCCATGATGTAATGAGGTGGGGGACGACGAGGATCGTGCACAGCGTGCTCCTGCCTCAGGCCAGCCAGGGCCGTCCGAGCCAGCCTCCCACGACAGAACATCGCGCGTTCATATTTCCATTTAGACAGGCCAGACGGTTTCGGCCAGCCTGACATTTCGGCATGCTGTCGCAGGGGCGGAGGGGGAGATTCTATGATTAGTGGGGGTTGGGGGAGGAGTTCACCCTTGCCGCGCCCAGGCGCTGCGGCGTACTCTTGTCGCTCTGCTGCTCCCGACTGTCCTGCGCTTCTTGTTTCTTGCCGTGGCGCGCTGCTTTTGTGCCGGGGTCTGTTCTGTAACTGACCATTTTTCACAAACGCAACGTAAAACGTAAAAGGAGGAGGGGGAAGAGGGCGAGCTTCCAGGGCGGCCCAAGGCCTTCGGCGGGTTGACTTCCGCCAGGCCAGGTTGGTGGGTTCGGGCAACTTGGACTCATAATCAATGGAAGTGCGCCCAGGCCCGCGATGCAGCAACGAGAAATGTGCGACGCGGATGGGTGGATGAGCCGCCGCGGCAATACTTGGAGCACCACGGTGAACGATTGAATCAGACTTGGCGTTGCGCCACATTGTTCTCCAGCGCCACGGAGCCGAAGACGACGACCTCAAACCGCAACGAGTGGGAGCCCCGCCCAAACCCTCGACACCCGCCCGGCTAGAAAAAAAACGCGCGACCGCGCAGAGGCGCCCGCCCACGCCGGGGAGCCGCCGCCGGAGGCCGACCATTTGGTGGAGTACGAGCGCCGCGCCGCAAGCGCGCAGGCTCGGGCGGCGGGGGGGGCACGGCAGCAACCCCCAGCCGGCCGGTGCACCACGATGGCGAAGAGGAGGAGGACGAGGAGGAGGAGGAGGAGGAGGAGGAGGAGGAGGAGGAGGAGGGCGGCGAGGGGAAAAGGGTGAGGAAGAGGAGGAAGAGGGGCATGAGGAGGAGGAGGAGGAGGAGGAGGAGGAGGAGAAGAGGAGGAGACGAGGAGCAGGAGGTGGACCAGGAGGAGGAGGAGGAGGGAGGAGGAGGAGGAGGAGGAGGAGGAGGAGGAGGAGGGAGGAGGAGGAGGAGGGAGGAGGAGGAGGAGGAGGAGGGGGGAGGAGGAGGAGGAGGAGGAGGAGGAGGAGGAGGAGGAGGGGGGAGGAGGAGGAGGAGGACCAGTATAAACCCACGGCGCGTAAACGACGTTGCAATGAATCCTCCTTCCAAGCTCCCTTCTCGTAGATCCCTGCCAGAATTTGCATTGATTGCGGGAAGTGCCCCATTGGGAAACAATGTTCGGAAAATCTTCAATCGTGCAAGAACGCCGTTCCTGGGACATCGCAGCAAATCAGTGCGGCTGTTGCGTCCTGGCGATTAATGATCGTGCCCAAACGCATTTCTTGGGACTTCAGCGCAGCGAATCAACGTAACCGCTGCGCCCTGTCAACCCTAGATTGCGCCAGAACACCATCCTTGGGACGTCAACACCGTGAATCAATTTGACTGTTGCGCCCTGACTGTATGAACCGCGTTCGAGCACCATTCCTGGGCCTTCAACAGTGCGAATCAACCTGGCTTCTGCGTTTGGGCAATCGTAAACCGCGCCAGAACACCAATCCTGCGCGGCATTTCAGGCGAGAGCCACATCTTGAAAACGACGCACCCTCCATCCTTGACGCTGCTGCGAATTTTGAAGACGAATGCGCGCGGTGCAAAGGCGAGAACCACAGTTTGAAAACGACCCGCCCTCAAACCTTGAACTTGTTGCGAACTCTGAAAACGAACGTTCGGGGCGCTAGGCGAGATTCACATTTTGAGAGCAACCCACCCTCAATATGTGAAGTTGTTACCAGCTTTTAACTCGAATGCGCGAGGCGCTGAGGCGAGAGCGACATTTTGAGACCCGCCCTCCATGTGTTAAAGGGCTGCAAATTTCAAGCTTCAGGATCACCAATGGTGAAGAAGTCTAACGCACGCGAAACGCCTGGCCAGCCATATCAACACCTGTGGGGATGCGACAGCCGGCCGTCTGGGGCGGCCACGAGGGGGATGACGATCAGGGGGGGAGGTATCATGGCCCGGGCCATGAATTTTCCCCGGATTTCATGGCCCCCGCTTCTTCTGTCAAGACGTTCCCTGGTACCCCCTGGGCCGCCATCGCCAGCCATGATTTGCGAGCCCCCTTGCTGAACGCCCCCCTCCTGGACGCCCCCGAGACAGGGAGTTCTTTTTACAGATGGGATGGAGGAGGACGTGGAGCAGGAGGAGGAGGACGAGGAGGAGGACGAGGAGGAGGAGGAGGAGGAGGAGGAGGGGCAGGGGGAAGGGGAGGAGTGCACGGAAGGGGGGGTGGGGCGGAGGAGAAGGGGGGCCACAGGGCTTCTTGGCGCCCATGGGTAAGTGACGCGAGGGGGGGTCGGCCTCAGACAAGGCGGGGGGGCTTCTAAGAAGGCGGATCGTGTTTGCTAGAAGCCCGCTCATGAAAGCCTCGAGAGCTCTGTAAGAAGGCCCCTGTCTACTAACCTTGGCCTTCTGAGAACGCCGCCCCCCTCGCGCCACCCCCTTTTAGGGTGACTTCAAGGATGGCACAGCGGCAGCCCCGAGCAGGGTCCGCAGCTCTACGGTGCTGTGGCGGGGAAGAGTCCTGGCGTCCAGATGGGGTACCGACACAGGTACGGCAGTTTTGCGTTGGGTCGACCAGCGGCGACCCCGCCGCCAGCGTTCAACGTACAACGTCGCCGTTAAACGATGGGACGTTTCGGGAACAGTCGATCGTTCAAGGTTGATTGTTTATCGGAATTGAAAGAGCTCCCTACTCACACCCATCTCCAGACTTCTGATACCCGACGCACGATCTCTCATAGGCTTGTTGCACGTTTTTGGGCAGGGGTGCTGGATAAAGATAAAGGTAAATGTAAGCGTGCAGGTGGTCATACAGGATCGACACCAGAAAAGCAGGAGAATAATATGAAGAAGGATGAGGAGCTCGAAGGAGGGGATTATTTAGCAAGAGGTTCAATGGACGGTATCATGGTTGCAGCCTCCCCTCCACCATGGTTTCAGGACTTCGAAGCCCGCCTATCGAAACAGATCGACGGCAGCACGACCGATCTGGCAGGCGTCAAAAATATGATCGACCAGGCGAGGATCGAGGCACAGGACGCAAGAAGGGCAGCATAATGAGCTCAGGAGAAGATGGAGGAAGTCGAGATGTAGGTTGAGAACATCCGAAACGACCTCCACGAGATGCACCCAACCAAAAAACGAAATAGAACAGATCATTGAAACCAATATTCAAAACGTGAAAAACACCATGGGAGGACCCTCCAGAGAGAACCAGGACCAAAACACCCCAGGCGACAAGGACGAAAAGCGGGACTTACAGGTGATTGTGGGAGGATGAAAGGAGGAAGTCGATGAGGACGTCATGATAGACAAGCTGAATAAGGTCACAGAGCACATGAGCATCGTAGCTAAGGTGACCGACATTGTTACGTTCACACATCTTTCAAATATTGGCGCAATTCAGTTCGCATCCAAGCACAGCAAGAACGGGCTTCTCCGCAAGATACGTGAGCAATTCACGAAATGGGGCAATGATTCCAGACTGTGGGCGAAAAACAACACCACTATCGAACAGCGCATCGTGGACAAAACATTGGGGCAGATCCAGCACCAGGTCATGAAGGCAGGGCATGGGCAGCATACGATCCGCATCTTATGGGATATTGGTACTGTCAAGCTGAAGGGAAAGTCATTGCAGAGGTGGATCAGTACGGGGCCGTCGCAATCTTCGATGAGGGAAAAGGCGTCCAGGAGAAGGTAGAGAAGTTCATGAAGGAATGGAGGAAACCACGAGACGATGACCCTTGACTGCGTCATGGGCCAGTCCACCAAAGCACCGGCACAGGCACGACCACATCGAAGGGGGGAGGGCGTGTTACCTACAAAAACGTAGGCGGCGATTTGTTTCATAGCATGTGTATCAGCTCTCCGTCAACACGGAGATGTTTCATCTTCTCTTCAGCTTTGTTTTCAAGCGAATGCAGCAAATAAGTCAAACCCACCTGGTCTGCATCTGTACCAATAGAACGTCCGAGGTCTTTGTTCAGGGGACCGCGCTGCAGAGTTCTTCGCCGAATTGGATACTATAGCGTGGGATTTGGTCACTATCAACGAGACTTGACGGGGAGTGAAAGAGGAGTTCTGGATTTCAGAATGTGGGCATGCATTCATTGGTTCAGACATTGCTGATAGCCATCGCGGTGTTGGCATCGTTGTGCGTAGACGCTGGGTCCAACATATTGCTTGTTTCCAGCCTATAAATGAGCGTGTTGCGTTTGTGGACATCCACAGAACATCTTTCAAACTGCGAGTCGTGTTCGCATATTTTCCGCATCGCGACTATGGGGATCAGCGCGTGCAACATGTATACGATAGAGTGGGTTGCATCGTCACGGAAGCCGGACGGGAGAAAATGATGTGTGTGATTTGTGCAGAGTGGGGAGGGAAGCGACACTGACGACAAGAGCAGTACCGGGCAGCACGGCTCTGGACAAAATCGGGAGCCTCGAGACGGGTGCCAGTGCAAACGGGGGTCAGCCAGGGCGCCGGATCCTGCAGGATCCTGCGAAGGCCCCCTCTGGCTGACCCGGGTTAGGGAGCCGCTCGTGGCCGCGAGGCGGCCGCGCGTATTGGCTGACCCGGGTTTGCGAGGACCTGCGTTGCAGTTTTTTTTTCCTGCATTGCAGTTTTTGGTTTCCTGCTGACCCGGGTCTGGATTGACCCGGGTCAGAGGATCCCCGACAAAATGAATGCAAGAGGGCAGCGGCTAAAACAGTGGTCGTTTACGCACAAACGAAATACTGTGAACACGTACTTCCGGAAACAGGCGTGCCGACTGCTGGAAACAATTTACGCTACGGGAAGGTAGCCACGACAATTTGATTTCATTTTATCGAACAGATTTTTTTGGAGAGGCGTGCGAAATTGTGCAGCGATGCTGGGTGTCAGCATGGTTTCAGATCACAAGGCCGTGGTATTACAGTGAAATTGAAAAACAGAGAACACATCCAGCAATAAACCCACATCCAAGTCCACAGAGCAAGCAAAAACCCACTGGCCGCCAAACAGCATCGACGCGTACCAAAACAAAAGCATTGTTGATTCATTCTATAGTTTTATGACGAGTTCCCTTTTGGATTTTACGTGTGAGAAGCTGGAGAGCGCAATCCGCGAGACTCTTCCCAAGCAGAGTCCTTCTCCGGGAGAACACCGTGGACGAGGCGCCACGAATTTGAAATCTCCGCATTATTACACCAAATACGTACCGTGGACCAGACAGACATGATCGCATGCCGGGGCATCAACAAACGAATCAAGAAGAAATCAGGGCAGACGCGACGCTACCGAACACATTCTGAAGCAGTTCAAAAACTTGAAGCGCATCAGCGGCAAAGCCATATGTCATAACACGTATGGCAGATTCGACCGGCAGCCGCACGTACGACAGGCAGTCCATCGTTGATGTGTTCGCTGAGTGTTACGAGATTCTCTACAACGACAAGGACAAGGAGGGCAACCCAGACGTAGCTGGACTTGTCCATGCGATCCCGGCGTTCACATTTGGAAACTACAGAGAGCGATACGAGACTTCCGAACCAATCGGGCTACATATCATGCGGGCATCAAAGCAGAAATGCTCAAAGCTGGCAGGCTCGCCTTGCACCATGCATTATTCAGCCTTTTTTCAAGTCGATCCTGGAGCCCGGCGCCACGACCCCAGAGAGGCAGAAACATACGTTGATCAACGTGTGTTTCAAAAGTGGTGACGCGCACCTTCCGCAAAATGATCGCCCACTTGCCAGCATACCAGTACTCTACAAATTGTTATCCCGCCTCCTATACAGTCGCTTACATCCGTTACTAGTCGCCGGACAAAGTGATGACCAAGCTGACTTTCGTCGACGCCAAACTGCGGATCATCTTGCGACGATGGTTTTCGTCCAAGAGATCCCTGACGAATCGCAGATACTGGTATGGGTCGCAGCGATTGTTTTAAAATGCGCTTGGCAGCGTTCCACACGACGCTATCTTGAATTCGCTCAAGGAACACGGTGTGTCGGCAGGCTACATCCACTTGCTTCGCCGGCTGTACCACGATTCAACAGCAGCAGTCTTATTTTAATCGCGCGAACCGAACATTCAGCATCTTGCGGGGTACCAAGCAATGAGACCCGCTCTGTCAGTTCCCTCCTGTTCAACAATGTACCAGAGAGCGTTATGAGAAAAGTAAAGAAATAATAGTTGTTGTCGCTAACTGGGCTCAATTTGCTGCGTGGTGGCGATCAACGAACTCACGCTTCGCGGGTGACCCTGTTCTTGTTTCGGCATCGTTACACAACATCACGGACATGATCCTCGACCTCAGCTGGGAAGTTTGCAAATTCGAGCTTCTATTGCATCCAGACAACACGAATATATTACACAATGGTCATGGCCACAAGAGGTCTCAGCGTATGTCAGATCATGTAACAATCGACGCTCTGAAAATGGAGGTATTGCCGGCGTATCGTTACACAAAATACATTGGCCGGAAATTGCAATTCTGCGACCTGCACGCGCCGAGATTGAGAATCGCATTTCTCCGGCGTGAGAAAACTCGATGCTGTAGGACAAAAACTCACATTCAGAACATATTCCCTCTCCGGCAGGGTCAAGTTACTCGACGGGTGCGTTACACCCACGGCAGTACGCAAAGGCAAGTGCAACGGACTCTTCAACGGAGTGAAAGCCATGGATTGACCCTTGGACATCAAGATGCGATACCGGAGCAAGATTGTGGAGCTAACGTCGACAGCGCCATCTCCGATCATCCAGCGCCTTCAGACGATCCCGAAGCAGATGAGTTTGCATTTGAACCCTGGCCGGAATGGATAAGAAGAGTTACGAGAACGGTTGGAGACATAATCAAAAAGTTGCAGTTTCTTGTTTGGGTGGACAGCCAGATGCAGCGTAATATGAATTCGGTTATTCGAGTAGCTTCCCCTGGGGAGTGACTCTTGGATGCGTAAAGTTCCACTATGGAACCCGTCGGAAATCAACTAGTGGCTAGCGCGGCGACACCTTGGCAAAAAATTGGGCGGACGATCTCTTGCAAGACGTGCGGCTTCAGGCAGGATATCAACTTCGGACCTTAGCAGGAATGCTAGCAGGTGTTATACATTTTACTTGGGTGATTAACTGTTTCCAACACCTGTATCGTTCATCATTCCTGCCTCCTTGCTGCTCCCCCTTCCCTCCTTGTCCTGCCAATGATCTACACGCCTGTTGCGTTTCACTTCCATCCCGTTTCACAGCGATTGTTTGCCCATCGGATTGCAAGCATTTGCGGCGCCACTGCGCCTAATTGCCAGGCCCCCGCCGGCTCTTTTCATGACAAGCCGTTGCCACTGCCAGTGTTCAAGGCTGGACAATCCCCGCGGTGTCACGAACCACCGCCAGGGTCGACACGACGCAAACATGCCGTACTTTTACATCGTTTTTGCCTTGTGGGCCTGTTGGGAGGCCCTCGTCGCCACCGTTGGATTCGCCTCGGAGTGCTGGTCAGAACGCGCTCCAAGGGCGAACTGGGCTGGATCCGCTGCTGCACGGCGTTTTCCGAAGAACAACCATAAATAAGACTCCGCAGTTTCGCGCGGATGTTCGGGAATTGTCGTTGGGCCCCGTTGGCGGCGCCACCGGCTCTGCCCCTAGCGCGCTCCGCGCGCAAGAGGGGGCTGCGCAAAATCCAAAAAGTCCACTTGGACCTTTGAATCATTATGTTGTGCCGTTTTGCGTTCCTCCAGCTGTGGTGTGGGGGGGAATCTACGCGCCCCAGTTCGGGCCGGAGCTGACGGGGTCGGAGGATCGCGGATGCATCGGCGATGCGGAGCGGTTTTTTGGCCCCATATGTTTTGGCCCCTCTTGGGGCGGCTCCACAGTCTGTACGGCAAGAAGGGCAGCGTTGGAAGATTTTGCATCATGCTGCTGGGTTGCAGCAAACCGTTGTTCGTTTTCTTTGGCGCGTGGCTGGGGGTGGTGGGAAAGGGGGGAGGGGGCCGGTCACGTCACGATTCGCGCCGGCGCCGTTTGGGAATGTTCAGGAATGGCTGATTCACAGACGGCGCAGGTGCGAATCGTGATGTGACCAGCGGGGGGGAGGGGGGGAGCGGGGCCTGTCACGGGCGACATCGCAAATAATCAAAAAACGGGCTCCAGGCATATCCGTGGTTCACACATGGGGTCTCGTGCGGGACGGGGCCGTCAAGATGACGTGCCGCAAACAATGTAAGTCCACTTTGGGATATTTTCCTATCCTCAGGACCTCCCTCATCTTGGAAACGTCGAGAAGCAGAGGCCGGGTGCCTCCGCGGCGGCCTTGCCGCGTCTCGGGAGTGCCAGGTCGGCGTCGCCCTCGGTGCTCTGGGGTGTGTGGTCGGCCCTGCGCCCTAGCGGGCGGCATCGGGAGCACAGCTCTAGGAGCTCGTCTTAGGGGACCTTCCTGGGGAGCGCCTAACGGATGTGTTCGACTCAAGTTCGATTCTAGATTCTAGATCAACTCTAGCTCGACAAGTTCGACTCACCTTGGGCTCTAGCTCAACTCAAGTTCGTCTCGAGTTCGACTCAAGTCGACGCACGTTCGACGTAGCAGCGCCGCATTAGTGGAGCGAGTGGCTCCAGGAAGATCCCCAGAACGATCATCTAAACAGCTGATGGATCTGGCTCGCAGCGCAGGACCCCCTGGGGTCTGGGCTCCGCCCAGCGATATTGTCGCAGGCTGTCTCGATCCGATTCGATTTAGATTTTCCAGCGATTCGATTCGGCCCGATTAGTGCGCATCCTGGCGAAGCCGCAGCCCGATTCGACGCACATTTCGATTCGATCCGATTCCTCGACTCGATGCTCGCTGGTCCTGGCCTGCTCTGGGGGCGTCTGCTTGCAGCAGCCACGCCGCCCTTCCGCCGCCGTTTCTTCGGGCCCTTCGAGGCTCTCCGGGCCAACATGGCCAAGGAGCGCTCGCAGCAGCGGGACGTGGCGTACAAGGAGAAGTGGTGGGTGGACCTGGTGAAGGATCAGGGGAGGCCAAACGTACCCCAGAACAGGCGCACCCTGGAGAGAGTGCCTTGGAGCCCACCTCGGGGTGCCCAACGGCTGCATTTGGGCGCTCACCGTGGCCGTGGCCGCTGCGCCACCTCACTGTGTCCTGTGGGTACGTTTGGCCCTTCCCTCCTCAAAAGGAGCGGAAGGCCAGCGATCGCCGGAGAGCTGCCGAGGAGGCGGCGGCGGCCGCGACGGCCGCGGCGCTGGCCGCGAGCCCCCCAGAGACGCCCAGGTCGCGGCAGAGGAATGCCGAGGTCTGCGCGCAGGCCGGCGCCGAGGCGGCCTACAAGGAGAGTGAGTGAAGCATCCTTCCCCGCCCACTCCCCATGCATCCTTCCGCCTCCCACTCCCCCTCGCCCTCTCCCCTCCCCCTTGCCACTCAGAGGAGACAAAGGTACCCATATCGCTACCCTTCGCCCGTTTTCCCCTTTTTTTGACCTCCTGGGAGGCCCTCGTCGCCACCGCTGGATTCGCTTCGAAATCCTGGTGTCAGAACCCACCCTAGGAGAGATCCCGGGAGTAGGCCTTTATCTGTACTTTCCCCGCCACTTCCCAATGCATCCTTCCGCCTCCCAGACCCCCTCGAGTCGTGAACAAAAACACGACGGACGGTTCTCATCGATTTTCGGCATCCGGGGGTACTGGGTCTCGGGACCGTCAAACAAAAACTCAGGACGAAAAGCGGGTCCCAGGGAATGGCTCGAGACCCTTTCGGTCGACATTACGAACCAAAAAACATGACGTCGAGGGTTTGGATCCTACTCCCCCCTGCCTCTTGCCATGCCCTGATGGGCACGGGTCCCCCTCCTCTCCCTCTCCTTCCCTCTCCCCTCAGACTGCCCCTGCACCTCTCCCTCTCTCGTCGTTCGGTCCCTCCCTCGGGGTGCGCTCTCACTGTCCTACTGTCCTGCCAGAGGGGCGGGTACGACCTTTTCAGAGAGGGCCCAGGGCCTCAGGTGTGGCCGCGACTGGCTCGACCACAGTCCGAAAGCCGGATCCTTCGGCCTGGCGATCGTCAGGGGCAACGTAAGGGGGGACAGGCTCAGGGGGGGATGCATCGACCTCCAATCGCCCATTTGTCGCCCACGGGGGCCTGATAACCCACGCCGCCCAGGAACGTGCAGATTCGCCGACGTCTTTTGACGGGCCCATCCGGAGTATTGACGGTCCGGTTTTCGTGGGATGTTTTCCGTTCGCGTCATTGTCTTGATGGCCCCGTAAGGCCATCCCGAGCCCCCCGAACCCGAGTCTTACGTCTCCCTGAACCAAGGCACCACCATTCCCTCAGCTCAGTGGATGTTCGTTCCGCCATCGCCACCACAATTCAGGCCAGAAGGTGTCCGAGTAAATGGGGTCAGAGGATCGCGCCGCATCGCCGATGCACTGCTGATGCGGCTCGATGCGGAGCCTGGAGTTCTCCGAGCTGGCGTCGCCGATGCACCGCCGATTTTGCCGATGCATCGTGTGTATATATATGTGTATATATATATATATATCGGCGATACATCGGCGATGCATCGGCCGTGAGGCGCGATTCTCCGATCCCATCTATTCCGACCCGATCTGGGAGGCTTCTACGAACCAAGCCACCATCACCCCCTCAGATCGGCGGATGTTCCGCCATCGCCGCAAAGCCACCACAAGGCTCGACTCTGGCCAAGTCTTGGTGGATGTCGGTTCCCGCGGGGCCTCTGCTTGATCACATGCGGTGGGCGCACTCCTTCGCTTCTCTGTGTATTTTCTTCCTGGAGGGGTGGGAGGTCATGATGATGATGGGATGATGATGATGATGATGATGATGATGATGATGATGATGATGATGATGATGATGATGACGATGACGATGACGATGACGATGACGATGACGATGACAATGACGATGACGACGACGATGACAATGACGATGATGGTGATGATGATGATACTGATGATGATGGTGATGATTATGGTGATGCTGATGATGGTGATGATGCTGATGATGGTGATTATGGTGGTGATGATACTACTGATCATGATGATGATGCTGATTATGAGTATGTTGATGATGATACTGCTGAGGATGATGATGCTGATGGTGATGTTGAGGATGATGCTGCTGATGATGATGTTGAGGATGATGGTGATGATGATGGTGATGATGATACTAATGATGATAATGATGATGATGATGATGATGATGATTATGATGATGATGATGATGATGATAATGAGTATGATGAGTATGATGATGGCGATGATGACGATGATGATGATGATGATGATGATGATGATGATGATGATGATGATGATGGTGGTGATGATGCTGATGGTGATGATACTGATGGTGTTGATGCTGCTGCTGATGCTGCTGCTGATGATGATGATGCTGATGATGATGCTGATGATGATGCTGATGCTGATGCTGATGCTGATGCTGATGCTGATGCTGAGGAGGATGATGATGATGAGGAGGAGGAGGAGGATACGTTACAAGATTTCCAGGATTTTCACTACTTTCACTGTTCCGCACGGGCTCCAGAAACTGGGGCTGCCTGATACTCCAGATTTCTTGTAGCGTATCCTGAGTCAATCGCACCATAACGTCATTCTCGCGTCCGTTCTCCATCTTCTCCACCGTCCAATTTTGCGTCACGATCATACGGCACTGCCAGCATAATTCTCCCGTTTTGTTTACAATACTCGGCGCCCCGGCGCCACTGGTCCGTTGCTAGAAGGACCGCGCCCTGGCGCTCGGGGGGTGGGGGGGCTTGCTTGCTCGAGAGGGGGAAGTGGTCGGCCGCGACGCGAGGCTTACGGCGCCTCACAGACAGCGCGCATTCGCGGACAGAGACGAAGACGGTGCGCACCCGCTCGAGAGCGCAAATGCGGGGGGAAAAACATGTGTGCATCCGTCCCGTCCGTCGCTCTATTTTCGAGGGGAGCGCCCCGAAGGAGATGTGGCTGCAGGCGGAGTGGGAGCCGCTCCTCGCCCGCCAGCGCGAGCAGGCCCGCGCGCGGCGCGCGAGCGCGGAGCGCGCGGCGGCGGAGGCGGCGGCGCTCGCGCGGAGCCTGGCCGAGCGCGAGAAGAAGGACCAGCGGACCCCCTGCCGCCGGTCCCCCCTCTCTCGGAGTGGGGTATGCAAGAGCTAGGTTGTAAGGCTTGGGCGCCGTCGTGAAGCAGCGTCGGAACTCCGAACAGGGGCCACTTGAGATATCGATGTGCCTTGCAGGTGGAGTGTCGTGGGAAGCTTTTCGGGGCCTCTTGGAAACAGTTTGGAGCTTCTTGGAGCCTCTTGGGAGCCTCTGGGAGGCTTACTGAGACTTCATTGGGAGCCTCTTGGGGCGGGGGTGTCGGTTCGGGTTCCCCGTTTCCGGTCACTTTTGGAGCCATTTTGACCTCCTGGGCCGCCTTGGGGGTCTCGTGAGCCGTGGCCGCTCTTGAGAGCCTCTTGGGCCGTCTTGGGGCGGTCTGGGGGTGCCTCTTGGGTCGTCTTGGGGCGTCGGAAGCCCGAGAAGGCGAGCGTGCAAAACTCCATCAAACACCTGAGGACAAGTGCAGATGTTGGCCTCTTGGGCCCCTCTTGGGGGTGCTCTTGGAACGCTCTTGGTGGCCTCTTAGGGGCATCTTGGGCCGTCTTGGGGCCATCTTGGGCGCCTTGCAGCACTCCTTGGCCGTCTCGGAGGCTTCTTGTACAGTCTTAGGTACCTTTGTCAAGGATTCTGGCTTCGAGAGCGCGAATATTGTGTACTGTACATGTGTTTGCGACTTCGGGGACGCGAAGAGCGCGTACGTTACGAGGGATTGTGGTTTCGGGGACGCAGATGTTGCGTAAGGTATGAGACACGGTTGCCTCGGATACGCGCGGCTACCTCGTACTTTCCGACAAAGTATTGTCTCGGGAGCGCGAACGCAGCGTAATCTGCAGAGGTTTATGGCCTGGGTGACGCGCAGATTGCGTGCCTCACTGCGGATTACTGCCTCGTGGTCGCGAATATGGTGCATTTTACAAGGGAGTCTGGCTTCGGGGGCGCGAATCTCATGTTTTTGTACGTGTCCCGGGACCCGAGGACAAAGAACACCCGTTGCACGTCACCACACGGCAATGCCAAGTTCAAACTCCGATGAGCATACAGCAGCGCGCCATTCGTATACAACCCCGCTGGCCTCTTGGCTTCCTGGGGGCCCCTTAAGGCTCATGGTGCTTCTTGGGGGCCTGTTTGGGGCCTCGTCGGGGTCTCGTGGGCCGTCTTGGGGCGCTTCTGCGCCGTCCGGTCCCTGAGGCCGTCTTAGAGGCTTTTCGGGGGCGCCTTGTGGTTCTTTCACTCGAAAAAAGGGTGGGCAAAGGCGAGAGTTAGCGAGCGTTTGTCCGCGGCCGTTTGTGCTCAAGCGGCCGGCCGCCAAGATATGACTGTGCATCATCGCGAGGCACACGATTTGCCATTGAGACCCGAGTCAGATTCGCTTGACATGGCTCGTCGCTCCCGCGACTGTCTCCTGCTCTTGGGACTACCGCTGCTACGGTATAGCAGAGTTGGATACGGGCTACGCCTTAGGCGAAGCATCTGGTTGGGCTTCCCGACCAGCTTCAAACTTGGTAGCGGAGCTGTCGTGTGGAGGACAGCTATCGCTATATTCCTCACCATCCACGGCGCGATCTGGTGGACGACCGACACGGCGGAACATCAGGGTGCAGTGGCTTTGCGCTGAGAATGTATATACATACGCACAATCGCAAGGACACTTGCAGTACTGCCTCTGCTCGCGCGGGGCCTTCCTACACGACTCCTACCTCTCTGCGCGACTACACTCCTGAAGTTGGCCCACGTACTCCAATGGGCAGTTTCTTCGAACACACAGTACATGGTAGTATGCGATACGACATTGTGCCGTTTCCACCCCCACGCAAGCTGACTGCAACGTCGCCGCACAAGCAACAGCAACATACAACCGACTACGGCCTACGAAGCCATTGTGTCCGTATTATTATATTTGGCCTTCTATGGGTCGCTATCGGATGTGCTCTTGGACACATGCAGCGTGGTGTAGACGACACACGTACTACAGGCCCCCATTGGGACCGTGCTGGTAACGTACCTGTCCGCGAGTTCTCTCGCGAGGTACATGCCTGGATCAACGTGACCACAGGCACTGTGACCTTCTCCCAACAGGCTGCGGCTACACAACATAGTCTGTGAGGGTTCGCAAGGACCATACCCATGAGAGCCCCCCCCCCCGCAGTAATCAACTTCGGTGTTAATATCGGTGGTCGCCACACCGATGGCGTCACCTATAGTATGTCCCTCCGCAACGCTCAGTTCGAAAACCTGGAAGACGATCGCCAACTCACCTCGGGAACGGCTCTCGTTGAGTTCCGCGTCCAGGCGGGGAAACGGATCGACCAGACGCTGGCCCGATTCGAGATAGCACGCTTCGGAGCCGACGCCGCGGGTTTCAACATCTCACACTTCCAGATCCCAGCAGCTAGACGGTTCAGAGCTTGAGGTGTCGGTACATCGCGTGCACCGCAAGTACTACAACCATTGAACCACCAACGGCCAAGGACTCAGCAACAGTTCGGCGCCTTACTTACTAGAGCGCATGAGGGCTTACGCCCATATTGCTGAGCGAACCCCTGGCAACACTGGTAGTGTATTCAGCCCCCGCCCAGGACCGTGTTGATTTGCCATCGGGGGCCTGCCGCCGATCTCTCGGCAATGCATCGACGATTCCAGGTCGATGTCTTTCCACGTGTGCCAGCGCCCTCCTGCCATTGCCCCTCATTGATGGAGGAGCACGAGCAGCAGGAGGCCGCGCGCCTGCGCGAGGTCCGCAGCATGGCCGCGGAGGACGCGGCCACGGCCGCGTTCGTGGCCGCCGCAGGCGTGGAGTGCGAGCGCCGCTCCGCCGTGCCCGTGGACGCTGGTCGACCGAAAAGTCGGGGAGCGTCGCTCTTCGTCTTGGGACGTGCGTCGGCGTTGGCCCAAGTGTGCGTTGGCGCTCCCCCCCCCCCTTTCCGCCTCCTCCCCCGCCTCCTCCCCTCCTCCTCCCTCCTGTTCCTCCTCCTCCTCCTCCTTCTCCTCCTCCTCCTCCTCCGCCTGCCCTTTGTCCATCGATTTTCCTTATAAATCGCTTCTCCCTGTCGCACATCGAGGCCAGTTGTTATGGCGGGCCGGACGTTTCGCCTGAGACGTCCACACCATTTATGACCGTGACGTTTTGAGCATTGGCAACCATTTCGCAAATGGATGGCGGGCCGTTTTCAAAATGTGGCTCTCGTTTCAGCGCCGCGCGCGTTCGTTCCAAATAAACATTTGCCAGAGCCTCACGGATTGATGGGGGCGTCGTTTTCAACATGTGTTTTTCGGTTTAGCGTCGCGCACATTCGTTTTTAATGCAATAGTTCCACGGATTGAGGGCGGGCCGTTTTCAACAGTTTGTTTTCGCTTAAATGCGGCGTGCACTCGCTTTAAACAACTAGCAATATTTCACGGATTGAGGGCGGTTCTTTCCAAATATGGTTATCGCTGTAGCGCAACGCATGTTCGTTTTTATTCATGCACAAATGCAAAGCTCCACGGATTCCCATGATCAACGTACCAGGAATTGCATGTTGGTGGGACTCCGGACTATGAGGGTGCAGCAGTTTCGTTGATTCGCGGTGTCGAAGTCCCAGTACTGACGTTCTGGCACGATTCAGGGTCGTCAAAACGTAATAGTCAGGTTGATCCGTGGCTCTGGAATCCCCCCGAGAACAATGTTTTGGTATGTTTCGGGGTCTTCACGTGGTTGTCTTCCGACGAGGCAGTTCCCCTAGTGGAAATGAACCGGTGTGAGGAGCCTCTGAAGAGGGAGCTTGGTGGGAGAGTGTATACCAACACCGTTGATGCCTCTTAGGTGTACACTGGTCCTCCTCCCCCTCCATCTCCTCCTCCTCCTCCTCCTCCTCCCTCCTCCCTCCTCCCTCCTCCCTCTCTCTCCTCCTCCCTCCTCCCTTTTCCCTCCTCCTCCTCCCTCCTCCTCCTCCTCCTCCTCCTACTCCTCCTCCTTGCTGCGGATGGTACAAAGTGCACTTGCCCGCTGCGGCTCCGCCCAGGGCGCGCAGCCTGTGTCGGCCCTCATTGCGCCGCCTGCGTCGTTCTGCGGTGGACAGACGCACGTTGGCGCAAACACGTTCTGAGGATCATCGAGCTCTGATCGGCGATTGTATAACGGGTGTGGTTAGACCAGGGTGTGGCGGCGTGGTTTGCGATCTGCATCATTGGGATTTGGGGGTGCCACGTTGCCCTCGTCGGGTCTGGTCTGGGCGCGGCAGAAAGCTCTGTCGATGTCTCGCCCGCCCCCGCAGGGTGTGGTTTGCAAGCCACACCCTGTGGAGTCGCCGTTCTGCGATCGAGGCCAGGACCTCTGTCGGCGGCGCGCGCAGGCGGGAAGGCGGAGGGGGCCGGCCTCCTCAGAAGGCGGTGGGGATTGTCAGAGGCCCTCCCGCTTTCTGAGGAGCCGTGGGCAGCTTCAGCTTCGGAGAAGGCTCATCAGGCTTGGAAGGCGAGGGGGCCCCGACGAGCCCCGCCGCCGTCTGAGAAGGCTGGCCCCTTGTGTCTTCACCCCACGGCGCGCCGCCAACTCGGGATGTGTGGGCTCTGGGGCGCGGGTCCGCCCCCTGGTCTCGTTTCTGGGGTGGCATCCTCCAGGTCTGGCTCTGGAGTTCTGGGGAACGTGTTCCAGACCAGAGGTGTGGCCGAAAACGTTCCCGATCCAAGGTGTGGCATCAGTTCAGCACCTTGCTGCCGAGGTGGGGTCCATGACAGTTGTTTTTTCAGGGGGGCAGGCGAAGGAGGCGCATCCTCCTCCCCCGGCTCCTTGGCCCCGAACGTTCCCTGCCCTGAACGTTTCTTGTGTTTTCGGTCAGTACAGGACGCGGCGACCGGAGCGGCCGTTGCGCAGGTGTTGGCGAACCCGAGCAGGCCAGAGGGACGCTGTTGGCTTCGGCCCCTTGGTTTTTAACATTGCTTCACATCGCTGGTCAGATCGTCGGTATGGGTCTGCTCGAACTTCCTTACATCCGCCACGATAAGCTGGATAGGACTGGCGTCTGGGTCTTCTGAGACATCCCTATTCGTCATTTGATGATGCACTGTAGTTTTTTTTGGCCAGCGGCCTGGTTTTTGAATCGTCCAGCGATAACGGCGGTCACCAGGGAGGGAGGGTCCCAGTAACGTCATGATTTGCGCCCGCAGCGTCTAGGAGTGGCCAGAAATGGCGGCGAGGACGACGACGACGACGACGACGACGACGACCGACGTCATCTTGAAGCCTCTGGCGGCTTTCAGAGCTCCCAGGATGTATCCCACAGGCCTTCGGAGGTCAGAGCGTGTTTCTTAATTGCTTTGGGCATAACGAGAGTTATAGCTTGAAGCCGGGCACGTCCCTGTACAGGACGAACATTCAAAAATAGTCAAACGTAGTCCAGGGACGATTTGGGCGTATTTGTTTGATTAGTTTTTGTTTAAAACATGTGTTGATACTTGTTTTAATTTTTTCGTGCCAACTCCGTCTGTAGGGGGACATGCCCGACCTAATTATAGCCCCTGCCCCCCCCCTATAACGTAACGCCTCTCCCCCCAGTGCGCCCCAGACACTGCCACCATGCACATCGGGATCCGCATAGGCGTCCGCATAAGGATCCGCATAGGGGTCTGATCCGCAGACGTCGCCGTTGTCGTCCTCGTCCTCGTGCTCGTGCTCGTGCTCGTCGCTCGTCGCTCGTCGCTCGTAGCTGTGGTGTATACCAGCGCTGCGTTGCACGCGGATGCTGTGCTATAGACAGGCGCCGTGGTGTGCACAGGTGCACGCAAGCATTGTGGTGTACTCAGGCGCTGTGTTGCACATGGTTGCTGCGGTGTACACATTTGCTGTGATGTACACTGGCGCTGTGGTGCACGCAAGCATTGTGGTGTACACAGGCGCTGCGTTGCACACGGTTGTGGCGGTGTACGCAGGCGCTGTGGTGTACACGCGCTGTGGTGCACGCGAGCATTGTGGTGTACTCAGGCGTTGTGGGGCCGATCGCCACCTACATGCTGCTCCTACTTGGCCTTGGTCATTTCGTGGACGTCGCCGGCGCGGAACGTAACGTCATCTGGGTGTGGGGGGGGAGGGTGGGGCCAATGACGACCGTTATCCTGGAAAGGAAACACACAGGCTCCAGTGGTGGTGGAGCCAGACGACGGGGGGGGTCGTTACGTCATACCCCTCCCGCTCCCCCTACCCCCTATAACGCATATTATCGCCAAAAAGAAAGAAAAGCGCTCCCAGAGGTCTGCGGAGGTTTCTGGGGTCCGAGACGGTCTTCCTGCAGGCCTCCAGAGGTGCGAACCGTGACGTTACCGAGGAGTGGGTGGGCGGAGGTCCCAGTAACGGGCGTCAGTGCGAAGTGTTCCGAAGCGTTCTTCGGCTAGTCGGGGAGTTTGGTCTTTGACCTTACCACCGCGCGCACAGCATCTGAACGCCGATCCCGTCCTCTCGATCTGGCTGGCCATGCTGAAGTAATGGGTTGGCCTGTCGAATTGCTTGTGGGATTTGGTGGGGAACAGCTGTTCAGATGCAGTCATCGGGGTGGCTGCTCAGTCTCCAGCAGCGAAGTGCGCAGTAAACTTCCAAGTTCTTCCCACAGATCCGTTTCTTGCTCAGGGCGGTGCATGGTTGTTCTAATCGGTATCCAGCAATGTAGGATGCTCGTTCCAGAGCGAGCGGAACCGCCAAAACGCTATGAGAAGGCCGCGGCGCCTGATACATCTTCCCAAACCGCCGAATCTCAGATATCCCCGATTCTTTCCTGCCCGATGCTGTCCCTGTCCTGGCATCGTCTTAGCGTTGCTAGCTCCACCCCCGTGAGCAGGGAGCTGCGCTGGCAGCTCCAGGATGCCGAGCGGTCGCTTGAGGCAGCAGCGCGCCGAAGGGCCGTGCAGCAGCAGCGGGAGGAAAGCGACTACCACGACTGGCGGGAGCAGGTGCGCTCGGCGCGCCTGCGCGAAAGGCGCATCGAGGGGAGGCGCTCGGCGGAGGACAACCTAAGGATGCAAGGTAAGGAGGCAAGGTCCGTTGAAGGCACATTTGCCATTTAGAGTTCTTTGGACGTCAACATTGGCTCAATATTGGCCGACGGAGCAGGGATGCAAGAGTAGCCCTGATGAAGCAGCGCGTCCTCGCTATTACTGCATCGAAGACGCCTGCGGCGAATCACCGCCGCCCCCTGCCTTTTTGGAAACGCCTATGTGGCCGAACGTTGTGGCCAGAGGCCTGCCAAGCTATCGGACCATGTGCTCCCCGAGTCGGTTTGGAAAGCCTTCGGGGAACACGGTGGGGGAGGTTGGGCCGACTTGGAGCTTTCTTGGGGTGTTCCAGGGCCGTCTTGTAGGCCATCTTGAGCGGCTTTTGGGCCTCCTGGGGCCGTCTTGGGGGCCTCTTGGGCAGTCATGGGGCCATGCTGGAGACCTCTTGGGCAAGTTCTGGTATCCTTCAACAGCTCAGGGGAACGTAATCATTTTGGCATGTTCGGGTCTTCCTGGACGCCCTCTTGGAGGCCTCTTGGGCCGTTTTGGGCAATCTTAGGGCCATCTTGGGCCGTCTTGGTGGGCTCCTGGCCCGTCTGATGCCGTCGGAAGCCGTTTGGGGGGCCTATTTGGGCCGACTTGGGGCCCTTTTGGAATGCTCCAGGGCCGTCTTGGAGGCTATCTTGGGCGCCTTAAAGGCCTCTTGTGTCGTCTTGGGGGCCTCTTGAGGCCGTCTTGGGGGCCAAGATTCTGGGGCCATCTTGGAGGCCTCTTGGGCGATCTTGGGGCGATCTTTGGGAGCTCTGGGGCCGCCTCGGGCCGTCGGAAGGCCGAAAAGAAGCAAACGTCAAGATCCTTCGAAAACCTTTGGAAATCAATGTTTTTGGCCTATTCTGGCCTTCCTGGAGGCCCTCTTGGAGGCCTGCTGGGCCGTCTTGGGCTCGCCTAGAGCCAGCTTCGGCCATCTTGGTGGGCTCCTGGCCCGTCTGACGCTGTCGGAAGCCGTTTGGGGGGTCTGTCTGGGCCGACTTGGGGCTTTCTTGGGGTGCTCCAGGGCAGTCTTAAAGGCCATCTTGGGCGTCTTGGAGGGCTCTTGGTCTGTATTGTGGCCCTCTTGAAGCCGTCTTGGGAGCCTCTTGGGCCGTCATGGGGTCATCTTGGAGGCCTCGTGGGCGATCTTTGGGCGATCTTGGGGGCCTCTTGGGCCGTCTTGAGCCGTCGGAATGCCGAGAAGAAGCAAATGCCCAAATCCTTGAGAAACCCAGGGAAACTAATGATTTTGGTCTCTTCGGGCCCTCCTGGAGGACCTCTCGGAGGCCTCTTGGGTCGTCTTGGGCCGTCTTGGAGGCTTCTCGGGCTACCTTGGAGGTATCTTCGACTTTCTGGGGCCGTCTTGGAGGTCGTCTTGGATCATCCTGGGCGGACTTGGAGGCTATCTTGGACCATCTTGGAGGCCATCTTGGGCCAACGTGGCCATCTTGGACGCCATCTTGAGCCGTCTTGGAGGATTTGTTGTGGACGTTGGTGTCCTGGGCAATCCTCCCGGGACCCCGGCGGGACGGGCCGAAGCGCCAGGGGGAGTTCTTTGGGAAAAAGAGCCCAAACCAAAACCAAAACCGAAAGGGTCCAGGACGCCAGGCACCCCTGCGATGAATCGACAGGGGGCGGCGGACCTAATTGCCTTCGGCCCATCCCGCCACCGTGCCTGAGTCGTGGGTATGAAGCCAATTCGATGTTCGTTGAGATCTCGTGGGAGGCCAATCGGGGGCCTCTTGGAGGCAGTTTGGAGGCCTCTTGGAGGCTTCTTGGGGCCGCTTCTGGGTCTCTTTTTTTCCTTACGCTTTGGACGCGGGTCCCCCCACAACCGAAATCGCCAGCATCGCGGGCCAACGCCCTGTGACATGCAATGACCCCTCGAATGAAGACTATGCAACGGGTATTTCTAGCCTCTTCGAATTGCCTTCTGGCCTGACTTCGGGCCTTGCAACGCCTTTTCGAATTTCCTTCTGGCCTGATTTGTTGTTTTCCTAAGCACAGGCGAAAAGTAAGGGCAACATTCAGTGAACACTCCGCTACCTAGCTAAATCACTTGTTCTCCTAATCGCTGGCGAAAACTAGGGGCAACAATTCAGTGAATACCCTGCTGCTGAACTAAGCGCTGATGTTAACATAACTACTGTCCATGACTATTGTGGTATAGCTTGTGGGCGAGGTGAGAAAGTGTTTATTTTTCTCTGGTGCCCCTCGGGTTTACGATACGCGACCAACCTTCATCCCACCTTCATCTGTTACCTGCACTCACTCGAAGTTCCACTCTTTTCCTTGTGGGCCCTTTGTTTCTGGCGATCGCTATCTTTGTCTGTAACGATTCAAATGTTTTTGTCTCTCTCTCTCTCTCTTGCTCTCTCTCTCTCTCTCTCCACGCATGGTGCGGATCCTCTCGGGGATCTCTTGGGTCCTCCTGGGCGCCTCTTGGGGCCTCCTGGGGGCCCCTTGGGGCGGAAGGCTCGGATTTTCGGTTCGTGTTTCCTCTCGTGGGCCCCGTTTGGGATCGTCTCTGGTCCCTCTTTGGGCCGTGTTGGGCGCTCTTTGGCCGTCTTGGGGCCATCTTGGAGGTCTCTTTGCCCGTTTTTGGGTGGTTTGGGTCGCCTCTTGGGACGTCTTGGAACGTCGGCAAGCCAAAAAGGCGAGAACGCCAACATCCTTGAAATACCTACAGCGCATCAATATTTTTTTGCCTCTTGGGAGGCTTCTTGGGGCGTCTTGGAGGCCTCTTGGAGGCCTTTTGGACCATCTTGAGGCCATCTTGGGCGTCTTGGAGCGATCTTTCGGCGACTTGAGGCCCTCTCTCCTTGGGGCCTCGTGGTGCCCTTTTGGCCCGTCTTAGGGCCCTCTTGGGCCGGAACAAATCATGCGACAAGATATGCCGGAGCACAGGGGGCACGCGGGAAGCTTTGGTAGATTTGAGAACTTGGGGTCCGGGCCCTTTAAGTATTATTCGAGACTGAGGACTGAGGCTCCAGGGGTTAGACAAAGGACCTGAGGACACGCCCACTCCCCAGGTGGCGGATGGATGTGGACTGCACCGATGCCGCTACCTTTTCTCGTGTTTGCATTTCTGGGCCTCCTGGGAGGCCCTCGTCGCCACGGCTGGATTCGCCGCGTAATCCGAATCAGAACGCACCTGGGGAGGGGTCCAGAGATTGGCGGCCTCGGTGCCTTCAGGTCCCCCCAGGCGCTGGGAGACGCACCGCGACGCAGAAGCCAAGCGCTCGTTGGAGCTGCAGGGCCGCGACTTCCTGAGGGAGCAGGACGTCGGCGTCACCCCAACATACGAATACTATGTGTGCGTCGCCCCCCCCCAGGGGCGACACGCGCGCCGAGAAATCTTATAATATGAGCTCCGTGCTGGGCGCTTTCTGGCCATACCGCTCTGGACACGATATACTATAAGATGGTTGTCAGAGTGAGGGGGCCGAACGGTCATTCACTGTCCTTGGGTGCGTGGCTGAAGTGGGATTCCGCGATGCGGATTCATGTTGTTGTTGTTGTTGTTGAACATTATTACTTCTAAAGAATAATTATTGTTGGGACCCCTGGTGCACGACCCCCCTCCAAAACCTAGGCCGCAGCTACATTTTCATCATTTTTTCGCGAAAGCTTCAGAAAAGTGGATTATGTCCGGATCCGGTTTTTTGTTGCGTTGCGTTTTCCCTTGCAAAAAACACTATAAAATGAAAATTCTTCTTCTTACTTGATCAAATTTCAAGAATCCCTTACAAAAAATGAGGTAAAGTGGACATTCGCGCGCGCAAGACGAAATCCTTCCAAAACCTTAGGTTTCGTAGCGATTTTAACATAAAAACATCAAAAACCCAATGGTTTTTTAAGAAAAAATTGTCAAAATGTTCTTCCGCGCGCTCTTGCGGATTCGTAGGAAAACCAACACTTTTTAAACAATTCTGTCAAACGGGCTTTTGCGAGCAACTTTTTCGAACTTCTGCGACAACGGTTGCGCACCTGCCAGGGCCATCATCCCTGTCAAATAATACCATGCGGGACACATTCGTTTTTTCTTCGCGCGCGCACGCCGAAATCTCCAAAAACCATTGGGTTTTTAAGAATTTTAGCACCGCGCATCATAAAATCACACGAATCGCACCGTAGGTCCTCGAAAAACACCTGCACGACTTTTCTTTCCACCCGCGCGCGCTGTCCTCTGTCTCTCTCTCTGTCTTTGTACTATGTATGTCATGCGCAACAAATGCACGATGCGGGGCACATGCGGGGCCCAAACAAGTGATCAACCTCTGCGGGTGTGTACTCCACGCCAGTGTAGTATCCACGATCGTCCGCGCGCCACGAAGTGAAGTGTCCTGACGTCATAGGGCGGGAAGCTGGGTGTGGGTGGTTCCCGAGAGTCGTGTGGATGTTTGGTAGAGCTTGCATTGCCCCCCCACGAAGTGGGGGTATTGGCTGGCGTCGCATGAAAACCCTGGCACTGGGGAGAACACTGAGCGTTCGGGTAAAATGATTGTTGTTGTTGTTGTTGTTGTTGCTGCTGCTGCTGCTGCTGCTGCTGCTGTTGTTGTTGTTGTTGTTGTTGTTGTTGTTGTTGTTGTTGTTGTTGTTGTTGTTGTTGTTATTTGTTGTTTGTTTGTGTGATTGTGTGATTGTGTGTTGTTTGTTTGTGTGTGTTTGTTGTTGTTGCTGTTGCTGTTGTTGTTGCTGCTGCTGATTCTGCTGCTGCTGCTGTTGTTGTTGTTGTTGTTGTTGTTGAATGTGAAACTCACTAAAACAGTATTATTGTTGTTGGACCTCCCCAGGCGCTTTGGCGCTCTCGCCTCGGCGCCGGCTACATTCTCATTGAAAATTTGGCTCACGCTCGAGTGGTTTGGGGGGGCGCTAAGACCAGCCCCCCAACAACAACAACGCTCTCGCTCGAGACTTCGTTCTTTTTTACTCAGGGCCGGTGCTCTTGCTCGCCGCCGAAAGCCGCCGTCCCAACAAAACCAGCGCTCCCGCTCGAGACTTCCTCCTGTTCTACCTTGGACAGGCGCGCTACTCTTTCTCTCATCGGCGCCGCCCCCAGCAACAACAACGTTCCCGCTCGAGACTTCCTCGCTTTTTTACCCAAGGCGGTGCTCTTGCTCGCCGCCGAAAACCGCCGTTCCGACAAAACCAGCGCTCCCGCCCGAGACTTCCTCCCGTTTTACGCTGGACTGGCGCCCTACTCTCTTTTGAATTGGCGCCGCTCCCAGCAAGAACAACGCTCCCACTCGAGGCTTCATTCTTGTTTCCTCAAGAAATTGTTGTTCCTCGCCGCCGACAGCCCCCGTCCCAACAAAACCACGGCTCCCGCTCGAGGCTTCTTCCCTTCTTACTCAAGGCGGCGTTCCTCCTCGCCGTCGAAAACCGCCGTCCCAACAAAACCAGCCTTTCCGCTGGAGACTTCGTTTCGTTTTGCGCTGGACTAGCGCCCTGCTCTCTTCAGCATTGGCGCCGCTCCCAGCAACAACAGCGGCCCTGCTCGAGACTTCCTCCCTTTCTATTCAGGGCCAGGTCCTTGCCTCGCCGCTTACAGCCCCCATCCCCACCAAGGCAATCCTGTCGCTCGATACTTCCTTGTGCTTTACCCTTGGCTGGGGCTCCACTTGCGGTCTCGCATCGGCGCAGCAAGGCGCGGGCATGTGTTTTGCGAGGCTGGATGTACTGAAATTCCTCGGAGGTGTTTGCAAGACCTCATTGGGCGGGAGATCTGGGAATGGGAATCGCGGACCCTGCTATAGAATAATAGTTCCCTATGATGGGCATGTCTATCATGTTGGTCGCATGCTTCGTGTGGCAGCATCGCGCATGAGGGTAACATGATTGTTGTTGTTGCTGCTGCTGTGGTTGTTACTGTTTATTGTTTTTGTTGTCATTGTTGTTGTTGTTGAACCTTCACTTCTAAAGAATAATTGTTGTCTTTTGGTTCGATCCAACTGCCGCTCCCGGGGCTCGCATTGTCTTTTTTTCCCTGGGAAATGTTGAGGCTCAAACTGTGTCGTTGGCCCCCGGTTTACTACAACAACAACAACAACAACGGCGCCCGTCTGGTATTTCTTCACAATGTATTGAAGAATCGCGGTCTCGCGTGGGAATTCCTGGCTATTTGCCACCGAATCGCGGCTCCCGCCTGACACTTCCTGACAATGTATGGCAGAATCGCGTTCTCACTTGGGACTCCCTCGCAACTTACCACCGAACCACTTCGTCTCTGATATTTCCTCAATGTATTCAGATGCCCGTCCCCGACACTCAGGAATCGCGCTCCCACTACACATTGCCTGGCGGTTCAAGCAGGAGTCACGCTTCAACGACCCGCCCGCTCGACCCCCCGTCGGGGCCTGCCCGCCCGACCAGCAAGTTAATGACTGCAGTCGCCGCTCGTTGCCCTTCGCCCGCCTTCGATGCCCCTCGCTGCACGTACTGGTTCTGCGGTCGCCTTCCCTCGCTGCCCTTCGTGGCCCCGTTGCTGCCCTCAGTGGCCCCGTCGCTGCCTTTTGTGGCCCCGCATTGTATGCCCTTCGTGGCCCCTGCTCGCACGCGCCCGTTGTGACCCCGTGCGCATGCCTTTCGTAGCCCCGCTGTCGCCCTTCGTGGCCCCCTCGCTGCCCTTCGTGGCCCCTTTGCTGCCCTCAGTGGCCCCGCTGTCGCCCTTTGTTGCCCCGTATACGAATGGCCTTCGTGGCCCCTGCTCGTTCGCGCCCGTCGTGGCCCCATGTGCATGACCTTCGTGGCCCCGCTGTCGCCTTTTGTGGCCCCCTCGCTGCCCTTTGTGGCCCCGCTGCTGCCCTCAGCGGCCCCGCCGCTGCCCTCTGTGGCCTCGGATTTTATGCCTTTCGTGGCCCACGCTGGCTTTTCTCACGATTTACTTGGGAATCGCGCTATCGCTCGAGAGAGTTCCTCGCGATTCATGCAGGACCCACGCTTCAACAACCCTCCTGTTCGACCTCGTCGCCTGCTCCCGCCCCTGCCGGCTATGGGTCTGCCCACCCGATCTGACCGTCTAGTTCTATTATTTGTTTTTTGTTATTTGCCCCCTTCCTGCTAATTTATCTCGTGCCTCGTGCTCCATTATTCTACCTCCCCCTTCCACCCGTCCTCTCTTTCCGTGTTTTAGGGGCTGGATTAAATACACGTGGCAGGCAAGGAAGAGATACCCCCAAAGGGGCGCGATCGAAAACGACGAGGGTGGGTACCGAGGGTTTGGGATATACGTAATGATGTTCACGTGAGCAGATAGGACCGAATAGTCTTAACATTATTGTTGCGGTTGAATGTTAATGCCTCAGCAATAATTTGTGTTGGACCCCTTAAAATCGCCCTGGCGTTCTCGCCGAGGCGCCGGCTGCATTTTCATTGAAAATGAGGCTCACTCTCAAGAAGTTCGGGGGACCGCCAAAACTGGCCCCCCAACAACAACAACGCTTCCGTTCGAGTTTTTTTTACGCAGGGCCGGTGCTCTTGCTCGCCGCCGAAAGCAGCCGTCTCAACAAAACCAGCGCTCCCGCTCGAGAGTTTCGTTTTACCTTGGACAGGCGCGTCACTTTTTCTCTAATCGGCGCCGCCCCCCAGCATCAACAACGCTCCCGCTCGAGATTTCCTCTCTTTTGTTTACTCAAGGCGGTGCTCTTACTCGCCGCCGTCAGCCCCCGTCCCGACAAAACCAGCGCTCCCGCCCGAGACGTCCTCCCGTTCTACGCTGGACTGGCGCCCTTCTACCCTCTTCCTCCTCCTCCTCCTCGTCCTCCTCCTCCTCGTCCTCCTCCTTCTCCTCCTCCTCCTCCTCAGCTTCCTCCTCCTCCTCCCTCCTCCCCCCTCCCTCCTTTTCCTCCCCCTTCCTTCCTCCACCCCCTCCTCTTCTCCCTCCTCCATCCTTCCTCCTCTGCCCCTCTTTCCTCCCTCCTCCTCCCTCCCCACTTCTCCTCCCTCTCCTCGTCGTCCTCCTCGCCCTCCCTCCCCCTCCCCCTCCTTTTCCTCCTCCTCTTCCTTTCCCTCCTCCTTCTCCTCCTCCTCCTCCTCCTCTTCCTCCTCTTCCTCCTCCTCCTCCCTCCTTTTCCCTCTCTCTTCCTCCCTCTTCCTCCCTCCACCCCCTCCTCTTCTCCTCCTCCCTCCACCCTTTCCCGTCCCTCTTTCCTCCCTCCTTTTCCCTCCTCCCTCCTCCTTTCCCTTTTCGTCCCCCTTATCTCCTCCCTCCTCCTGCCACCCTCCTCCCTCCTCCCTTCCCCTTTCCGCCCCCCTCGTCGCTCCCTTCATGTTATTTCCT